TTTTATTTAGTAAACTAGAAGGATACAAACATAAGCCATTCATAGAAAACTGCTGCGATATATGTGACAAACTGAAGTGACAGTTAACAATAATAATTATTATTATATGCACAACAAAGTTATGACAAAATATTTAGTCAAATATCAATCAATATGGGTTTCGATCCAGTCTATTAAATTTGTGACCGATGTTTTGTGTAAGAGTGATTTGGGGTTTGGAAAAGTTGAGAACTTTCTGTTTGGAACACACTGGAAAAGATTCAACTGCTGAATATCATTAATCACTTTAAGAATGTCTTTCTTCATATCAGAAGCCTCATGCCTTGTTTGATGGTGCTTTATGCCATTAATAGCATCATAATTCTCTAACACAGGCCCAATTGTGCCAAGTGCTTTGCCAAATCTTAGTATAGATGCTTCATTTTTGTTGGAAGCAAGTGCATCTATTCCATTTTTTAATAGCCTATTTAGATGCTCCATATGTAAGTCTGCCGAGATGTTTCTACCTATTGATCCAGAGGTATTTATGAAACGACTGTAAATCAACTGCTCTGCCAGTCCTGGTGACAAAAGGAACTGATATTGGTGAATTAACAAAATAGCCTCCTTGGCATAATTTCTCCTATTAGAGTTGTGAAAGATTATCATAAAATATCTCCAGCATCTAATTACCCTCATGCCATCACCCTCCCTAATAGCATCAGCAAACTCCATAACAACTGAACCAATAGTAAGCAATTGCTTAATGTATTCAGATGCACGATCTGTTGTAGCAGTGTATGGTACATTAAATTCAATATTTGTATATTTATCTACTACTTCATTTAATATTGCATCCATTCTTTGCCTGAGCTTATCATCACTCTCAGTCCAAGCAGACTCTGAAATTGATTGTGGCCAATCATCGACAGCTCGCAATCCTAAGCTCTCCATTGTTGCTGTAGTTATAAAGCTGTGCATGACAATGGCCATAAAATCCTCACATGAATTTAATTTTTGTTTAGGCTTGCCAATGTCTGAACGTCCAAGAATATTTCTTATATGGTACAATGTCCCATGCTCAGCTGCTGACTTTGGCAACATGTAATATTTCCATATAACCTATATCAATGCAATATTTCACTCATCAACACCAATTATGTTAGGCTTTCATTTTACCTCATACAAAGTCAGTTTCGTATGCCAATCCTCAACTGTTAGAATGAAACCCTCCAGCCGTGATGCAGAAGTCTCTCCATTATTCACCACAGCAATAACAAAACATTTTTTCAACTAAACCACGTGCAAAAGCAAGGATTCAGCCCCACCCAGCCCCACCCAAGCCATATAAGTTCACACGAAAAAAGATGTTGGATTGGTCCTGACCCTCCTCCGTTGCGAGGGTCAGGCCCGCCTGACTATTGCTGTCCTTGGTCAGGGAATGATACTTTAGTAACTAGTAGAAGGAGCAGCGTCACTTCTGAGAGGTAAGGAATGGGAGGATTAAAAAACCATCTCCTTTACTTTGTGGCTTTAATTTTCATTTATTACTTATGAAAATGGATCTTTTCTTTCTCCTTCTCTTTTCTGTAGGTTTTCTCTTCTCTTGCTCGAGTTTGGTGAGATTTATTTCGAAGACTTTAGTGCTGACTATTATCCAGCCACTTCCAGTGACCGTGAAGCAATTGAGAGGTAAAGAGAGAATGAAACAGACCAATGAATGAAGAGTACTAATATGATACACTTTGAACTATACATCATTCATGTCTATAGTATCTATCATTCTATCCATACATGATATTTGGCTGCCATTT